GACGAGACGAGAGAGAGAGAGAGAGCGCGGCGAGCAGAGCAGACCAATTAAAAGGCCAGTGCGCAATTTAAAATGAACAGCGGCAGAAATATGCGCTTTAATGAGTGTCGGGCGTGGCGCGTGTGCGGCAGGTGTTCGCTGCGCGCGCGCGTGTGTGTGAGGCGAGCGTCTATGAAGAGAGGGCATCTGTAAAGACTGGCAGCCGCTTTAACGTTATTCATGGAATGGAATCCAGCTCGCTTCGGCCACTTTGTAGGCATGCTGACCCTCCGAAACGCGTCCGCCATGCTGCTACATCGCGCTGGCCGTCTTACTGGCTGGTATCATGTCTGCTTCTGTTTGTCTGTCTATTCTTTCATTGGTCTATTCTCCCCCTGTCCGATCGTAAAATGAAAGCCTGCTCCGCAATCTGCTGTCAGGCGTTTAATACGGTGGCGGTATCGTCATGTTGTGAACCGTCCTCCGCCGGGTGTTGACTTCTACCACTTGATTTACTGCTGACGGCGAAAGCGCTGTGTCCCCATCGCGCCATGAACATTGCTTGTCGCGCGGCGAAGAATATCCATGCGCGCATAATCTTTTTCTCCTCTCTCCCCACAACATCTCGTGAATTAAGCCGGTAATTTATTTAAATGCGGGGGATGTACACGCTCATCGGGCACTATGTTGAACACTCGTAGTCCGTTTCTGAATTCCATTCGAAATCGTCGTCAAGGTATGGCGATGTCGTGATTATTACGCTATCCAGCTCTCCCACATCATTGCGTGTGCTTGGTGTGTGTTGTGTGTGTGTGTGTGTGTGTGGTGGTGTGCAGGTGCGTGGCGTGATGTGTGTGTGTGTGTGTGTGTGTGTGTGTGTGTGTGTTGAGTGTGCGTGCGTAGCGTGCCGTGCCGTGGCGTGGCGTGCGTGGCGTGTTCTGTTTGTTTGTGTGTTTGTGGTGTGCTGCTGTGTGTGTGTGGTGTGTGTGTTGTGATGTGTGTGTGTAGTCTGTCGCTTGTGTGTGTGGTGTGTGTGTGCTGTGTGTGTGTGTGTGTGTGCCGCCGTGGTGTTGTGTGTGTATATAGGCCCGCATGCGTCTGCAGACGCGCCGAGCCTACTCTTCTTTTGTCGACTTCGCCGACAGCGGAACTTTATTTCTCTGCGCTATATAAGCATCTGCGATATTGTTCCGGTCAAAAGTGAAGCCACGGTTCCTGATGCGGGCTAACATCGCCGCATGCAGCGGTTAAAGTCTCTGCACCACTGCTGCAGCCGCCGCCTCCTCTGTCCGAATGCCTATTTCTACTGCTGGCTCCCTTAACTATCCCTTGACTGCTCGATCGATGCCCTGCTGGTCGGTGTTGTGGTGGGTTGTTGGTGTGGTCGGATGTCGGTGGTGGTGGTGGTGGTGGTGGTTGTGGGTGATGGTGGTGGATGGTTGTGCCCTGGTCCTGCCTGCTGCTGCTGCTGCCTGATGATGACATGCTGCTCGCTGCTCGTCGTTTGGTAGTGGTGGCGTGTTTTGTGTTGTTCTTATTGTTGTTGTTGTTGTTGTCTGTTGTTGTTGTTGCGTTGTTGTTGTTTTGTTGTTGTTGTTGTTTGGTTGTTGTTGTGTTGTTGTTGGTTGGGGGTGGTGGTGGTGGTGGTGGCTGGTGGTGGTTTTGGTGGTCGTCCGCGTTTCGTGGTTGTCTGTTTCTGTTGTTGTTGTTGTCATCGCTTTGTTGTATGTTTGTTGTTGCTGCTGCTGTTTTCGTTTGTTGTTGCTGCTGGTGGTGGTGGTGGTGGCTGCGCTGCTGCTGGTGGGTGTCGGTGGTGGTGGTGGTGGTAGGTGGTGGTGTGGTGGTGGCGGCGGCGGTGGTGGGTGATCGGTGGTAGTGTTGGTGGTGGTGGGGGGGGGGGGGGTGATGGGTGGTAACATAGCCACTAAACTGACTACACTACTACACCTACTACTAACTCCTACTACTACTACTGACTACTACCTACTAACTACCTACTACTACCACTACTACTACAGCTCACGACTACTACTTACTAGCTGACTACTACTACTCTTACTACTAACTACTAGCCACGATTCACTACTACTACTATACTACTACTACTATTACTACTATATACTTACTACTACTACTACTACTTACTATATTTATTACGCTTTTTTCATACCAGTTATTGTTCCCCAAATTTTCTGTCTTAAACTATTTCATCGAACCGCATTTTCTTCAGTGAACTGAATTCGCGTCGCCGCATCGTTGTACACATAGTAACGCCATTAGTTCATTAATATCGTTTTGGGAGGCAGTTAGCGTTCCAGGAGCGACTAATGTGTGCAACACTCCCATTGTCTTTGAAACAAAGCTTACGGCGAATAACTGGGAAAGAGAAACATGAATGCTTTTGCACGCTATGCCAAATCCATCTGATGAACAGCAAGGGTTAATAATACCCTAATATGATTAAATTAGGTATTATTAATAATATCATATTAGATTACCCATAGCTATTTTTAGCTTGTGAATGACGCAGGCGTTGGAAGGTGCCTGTTGGCGCAATGACTCATTCAACACAGGATTCAGTAAACACCAGACTCTTGGAATACCGGAGAAGCTACGGTCAGTTCTAGGCGAATTTCCTATGAATCGGGGTGTGATTCGGTATGAGAAGAGCACCGGTTTACACTCCATGTTGATGTGTTCATCAATGCACTGATCATGCGCCGCGCGTCAATAAGCTAAACGCATCGGCCCAATCCACCTCTCTGCCTAATCGTCCGCCAACGTTTCTCCTAGACGAGTCGCGATGTTTATTTGGAATGATCAACGCTTCAATGGTTGGTCATCTTGGCTACTATAAGTAACTGATATTATTTGCTATATACTACCGCAGAGCCAGGCAACGTATCACTGAACGTTGACAGCGGCACACACGAGATCACCGAGGTGTTCCACGCGTCTGCGATTCGTACCCTACAGCACCAGTCGGCTATTCGCTTCCCACAGCGAGACACATCTGTGTCTGAACGACGTCTATCACACGACACCCACCACCAGCTCAATTAGCGTGTGTGTCGTGGGCGTGCCGTACACACACACCCGCCGCATGCGTGTATAGTCGTGGCACGTGCGTGATACGTGTTGTGCGAGTGCCGATCCGTGTGGATGCGGCGTGCCTGAGGTGTGTGTGTGTGTGTGTGTGGTGGTGTGTGTGTGTGTGTGCCTCGGTGGGTGTGGTGTGTGTCGTGCTGTGTGTGTGTGTGTGTGTGTGGTGCGTGCTGTGTGGTCGTGCGTAAGTGCGTTCGTGGTGAACCGATGCGTTACGCCATCGTTTCCGCGAACCGCATCCGAAAAACACAAGGGAGACTTCGCATCGAAAATCCGTAAGCCAATTACGCGGACGTAAAAAGTGTCTGGATATTTTATCCTTTCGCCGCCTTCTTGTGTGACGGAAGGCCGTGCGCATAACAGATAGCAGGGTGCTACTGATGCGCGGCTGTGGTAGAGAGACGAGAGGAGAGAGCCAGAGAGAGAAGAGCAGAGAGAGAGATGAGTTGAGAGCGGAGCGAGAAGAGAGAGAGAGAGAGTAGAGGCAGCGTCAATGCAGCAGCAGCAGCAGGCAGCAGTGACGCAGCAAGCGAGCGAACGAGCAGTAGCGAGGACAGTAAGCAGCTACAGGTATAAGGCGCTGCGCAATGACAGCTAGCGCCATACTAGATAGTAGCACAGCGGTAATAACCGCAAAAGCCCGCAGTGTAGGCCACACGAGCACGATAGCAGCAGCAGGAGGCAGAAGCCTCGGCCAGAGTATGCATAGTCATACCACAACACACACACACAGCACACACAACGACGTCACTGGGTGTATAATTGTAACGCGTATTATTGATTATGGTTGTTGTAACGCTGTTTTAGGTTGTCTGTTGGTTGTTGTTGTTGTGAGTAGTCGTAGTAGTATAGTAGCTAGAATCAGTGAAGCTACAGGTAGTACGAGCTCAGATAGTAGTAGTGCCAGTGGAGCAGTAGTG